GACCCCAAAGGCCCCCTAATGATGTACATTTCCAAAATGGTGCCAACTTCTGATAAAGGTCGGTTCTATGCTTTTGGACGCGTCTTCTCGGGGTTAGTGTCCACTGGCCTGAAGGTCCGCATCATGGGCCCCAACTACACCCCTGGGAAAAAGGAGGACCTCTACCTGAAGCCCATCCAGAGGTGAGCATCTGGGTGGGTCCCTGTCCTGCTTAGAGCTCCTCCTGGCTGTTTGGTTTTGGCAGCACTGAGGATTGAACCCAGGGCCTTGCCCAGCTCCTGTTTACTGGGGTCTCCCTGAATCATTGTTTCCCAGAGTGGGCTTGAACTTGAGATGGGGTGTGGATAGAATTATGCTATGGGGCTTGAGGTCCCTGTGCCAGGCTCTGGGAAGGCCTGGGTCTCAGTAGAATCCCCCCTCTCCCCCCGCTCTCCCTAGGACCATCCTGATGATGGGCCGCTACGTGGAGCCCATTGAGGACGTGCCCTGTGGGAACATCGTGGGTCTGGTGGGCGTGGACCAGTTCCTGGTGAAGACTGGCACCATCACCACCTTTGAGCATGCCCACAACATGCGCGTGATGAAGTTCAGTGTCAGCCCTGTCGTCAGGGTGGCTGTGGAGGCCAAGAACCCGGCCGACTTGCCCAAGCTAGTGGAGGGGCTGAAGCGGCTGGCCAAGTCCGACCCCATGGTGCAGGTGGGTGCGTGTGTTTCTGCTGTCGGGGTGCGGGGTTTGGCCGGGAACGGTGGAGGGTTCTGTGCCTGGCCCACGTGACACCCTGGTGTGGTGGGGTTTTGCTGGGCTGTGGGCTCTGAGCCTCAGGGCTGTGGCCCTGGCTGACATGTGGCCATCACAGTGCATCATTGAGGAGTCAGGCGAGCACATCATCGCGGGCGCCGGCGAGCTGCATCTTGAGATCTGCCTCAAGGACCTGGAGGAGGACCATGCCTGCATCCCCATCAAGGTGGGCTGCGTGGCGGGGACCCGTCCTCAGTGTTACTGTCACTCAGTGTGCCGTCTCACTCTGCCCCGGGCTGAGTCCTTCTACATCTCCGCTTCCCTGGGAGACAGAAGCTACCACTTGTGGCTGGCCCTGCCTGTTTCTGGCTTTGGTAAAGCTTAGCTGTGCTCAGGTGGCGTCTGGACTCTGGGCCGGTAGCACAGCTCTTGCTTCATGGGTCCCAAGACTGAGCTGTCCCTTGCTGGGGTGGGTAGCCCTGACACATGAGGCTCAGTGCCACCTGTCCAATACTGCCACGGTGTGCAGCTGGGATGTGCCAGTGCTCTGCCTTGCAGGGCAGCGCTTCTGGAGAGTGTCCTTGCTGGTCAGTCCGTCAGCGTGTTACCTACAAGCTCTCCCTCTTGCAGAAATCGGACCCTGTGGTCTCGTACCGGGAGACGGTGAGCGAAGAGTCGAACGTGATGTGCCTCTCCAAGTCCCCCAACAAGCACAACCGGCTGTACATGAAGGCACGGCCCTTCCCCGACGGGCTGGCTGAGGACATAGACAAGGGTGAGGTATCTGCCCGCCAGGAGCTCAAGCAGCGTGCCCGCTACCTGGCTGAGAAATACGAGTGGGACGTGGCCGAGGCCCGCAAGATCTGGTGCTTTGGACCTGACGGCACTGGCCCCAACATCCTCACCGACATCACCAAGGGGGTGCAGTACCTCAATGAGATCAAGGACAGCGTGGTGGCTGGTTTCCAGTGGGCCACCAAGGAGGTGAGTAAGGGCTCCCCGCCTCCAGGGCTGTGGGATCTGTGGGTGCAGGGGCGGTGTTCCCTGAAGGTGCCCTCTCTCCCCTCGTGCAGGGAGCACTGTGCGAGGAGAACATGCGCGGGGTGCGCTTCGACGTCCACGACGTGACACTGCATGCTGATGCCATCCACCGTGGGGGTGGCCAGATCATCCCCACAGCGCGGCGCTGCCTCTATGCCAGTGTGTTGACAGCACAGCCGCGCCTCATGGAGCCCATCTACCTTGTGGAGATCCAGGTGAGGAGGCCAGGATCTGCACGCCCCCACAGCCCCCGTGCCCGCAGCTCACAGCCTTGACCGTGCTTTCCCTCCCCTCAGTGTCCGGAGCAAGTGGTTGGGGGGATCTATGGTGTCCTGAACAGGAAGCGAGGCCACGTCTTTGAGGAGTCCCAGGTGGCTGGCACGCCCATGTTCGTGGTCAAGGCCTACCTGCCCGTCAACGAGTCCTTCGGTGAGTGTGCCTGCTGAGCGGGGCGCTGGTGCAGTCTGTCGTGAGGGGAGGTGGTTTGGCCCCAGCCCTGTGTGGACCATGGGCAGCGGTGCATACTGCTTGTCTTCTAGTCTTTGAGACAGGGTCTTGCTATGCAGTTTGGGCTGGCCTTAATCTCACTTTGTAGCCCAGGCTGACCTCAAACTTGCTATGATTCTCCTGCCTCAGTCTCCCAAGTGCTGGGATTACAGACATGCGCAGCCACGACCGGCAGCATAGTGGTCTTGAACCCTCTTGGCTGAGGCGCAGTCCCTGGATCAGTGTCTCACCATCCAGGCTGTCCTTGCAGTCCTCTCCCATACATGGACCCGCTCACTCCCTGCCCTCTCCCCACAGGCTTCACAGCCGACCTGCGGTCCAACACCGGTGGCCAGGCCTTCCCCCAGTGCGTGTTCGACCACTGGCAGATCCTGCCCGGAGACCCCTTCGATAATAGCAGCCGCCCCAGCCAGGTGGTGGCAGAGACCCGCAAGCGCAAGGGCCTGAAGGAGGGCATCCCGGCCTTGGACAACTTCCTGGACAAGTTGTAGGTGGCAGCGCCCCTGGCTCCACATGGCAGCACGTCCTCACATTCTCAAATGACACCTTGAGACTGTCCCCACAGTGACCTCCGCCTGACAGGTTTTCGGGCCCGCTCCGTGCCATCGCGCCATTCACACTTGATGCTGTTTCTATTTATTTTGGGTTCCAGAGCAGCGGAAGTGCCCTCTCTGCAGGGACTTACGGGGCCGGTGGGTGGGGAGGCGGGGCAGGACACCCAGTCCTTTTTGTTTTTCATTTGTTCAGAGGGAACCGCAACTCAGATGTCCAAAAATTTAAAATAAACACATGTAAGAGATTTATTTGGGTAAACGACCTGAAGCCCCTCTTCCCAGAGAGGGGAAGAACAGGTGGGTGGATGAGTCCTGGAAGGCAGGGGTCCTGTGCGGTGTCGCCATGAGCACCACCAGCTGTGTTAGTGCCATTGGGATAATAAATCAATATGGTGGTGACTTTGTGGCCTTGCTGCGCATCATTGCCGGAGTCCATGTGTGGCGGGGCGGGGTGTGTGTGTGAGAGAGAGACACACACACAGCCCAGAAGTGGAGTGAGGGTGCCCAACCAGCGCTTGCAGAGAAGCCCCTGCGTCTGTGCTGTCCAGAGTGGCTGCCATGGCAGCAGGGAACGGAGTCCCAGACTGATGGTGGCAGACATGTCCGCAGGCTTGTCCTGGAGTCACCTGGTCAGGACCAGTGCGCCTCAGCTGTGGTGGAGGCCTCTGCCGCAAGACAGGTTCAGTGTGTGTGTGGTGCTGGGGATGGAGCTGGTGGCCTGGCATAGGTAGGCAGGTGCTATATCTCAGGGCTGCGCCCTAGCCCTCTACCTCTATGTAAACGTTAGTCATAGGTGCTTTTCATATTTCTCTTTTCTTTGTCTTTCTGAGACAGGGTCTTACTATGTGGTTCAGGCTGGCCTCAAGCTCACTTTCTAGCCCAGGCTGGCCTTGAACTTGGAACGATCCTCCTGCCTCAGCCTCCCAAGTGCTGGGATTATAGGAGTGCGCCACCACACCTGGATGTTTTCAGTCCAAGTGATTGGAGTTAACAATTCCTGGGCATGTTTTCATCTATAACTGTTGAGAGACCTAAGTGTGATTAGGAAAAGGAGCAGAATCCTGACAGCCAGCTTCGTTTCATACATCACAGCACATACATAATGTGCTGTTTCCTGTTTGAACTTTGAGTCAGTCTCACTGTAGCCCAGGTTGGCTTTGAACTGGCAGTCCTGCAGAGAGGAACCACAGGCCTGCACCACCTTGCCCAGCTTGAACTTGATTATTAAAACCAAATAAGAACTTTGACTAAGTGCCCAGAGCTAAATGTAGTTCCCTGTTTTTTCCCAACTTTGTAGGGATAAAGATAAAAACTCTCGGCTCTAACGTTTTTCACAACATTGGGCATTTTAGGGAACATGTTTCTCTGAACCCCACGTGGGGCTAAGGTGCTAGGAACGGGGGAATCGGTCACAGGCACAGAGCTCCCCCCAGGGGTGAGACCTGCAGGGGAGTCCTGCAGTGCTGGCGCGCCCTGGTGGCCCCCCTTGCGGCCCTGCAGCGCTGCAGCAGTTTCCATGGCCGGGAAAAGTAGGCTTGAGACCAAGGAAGCACAGGGGTTTCGGAGAGGAGTGAGTAAGGGGGAGCCTGGCTGCGGTAAGGTCTTAGGAGCCTCAGAGGGCTCACGTGTCCGGGGTTCAGACCTGGATGTCTTAGCTCTGCTCTTTCCTGGCTGCGGGACCTGGGACAGGTCGTTTAACTTTCCTGGGTGCCTCTTCCATCTGTACAATGGGGAAACATCTTAGCTCCTAAGAGTGTCTCAGTAGCTGCTCATCAGCCTTTTTGTTGAGTAGCAGGCCACTTGCGCCCCCTTGAAACTTCCACGCAGGCTAAAGGCGCCCCAGGGTCCGTCCCAGGAGTTGCCCGTAGCGCCAGTGCATCTGGGAGGCGAGCCAGGCCGCATCCACGATTTAACGTCCATTTAGAGGCGGGCGGGCGCTCCAAGGGCCGCAAAGTCAGCCTTCTTCCGTGTGTTTGACCCGTGTCCATACCAGCCAATCAGGTTAGGGCAGGTCAGTCAGCCAGCCAACGGCGCTGCAGTATCCGGGTGCCGTGCCGGGAAAGGAGGCACAGGGTGGGGCGTTGAGATGAGGCACGAGCGGCGGGCGGGTCAGCCAATGGGCCATGGGGTCCGCCTTCCGGAGGCGGGAACTGGCGGGCCCGGTGACGTCGGCGCAGGCGCGGGGAGGTCTCCCAGAGAGGAGGCGGAGGCTGTAGCCCTTGCGGCGGCTGGACCTGCTCGGGACTCGCAGCCGCGGAGGTGCGGACGGGCTGGGGCCTAGGCCGGCGGGCTGGGTGGAGCCGGGGCGGCGCCTCGGGGGCCCTTGGAGTACGGGGAGGGCGAGAGAAACTGAAGGGGGGAACTTTTGGAGAACCGCATAGCTGACTGGGCCTGCGAGGGGCGTGGCGGCCTCAGGGATGCTTGAGCTGGAACATTAGGGGTGGGGACACCTTGGGGGAGAAGATCTGTTAGGGAATGAGGACCTTTGCTAGGTGAAGGGAGAGTTAATCTTGCTAGTACCGTGGAGGTCAGCGGCGCCCAAAGTGGGCTTGCAGAGCCGGGCGTGGAGGCGCAGGCCTGTCATTCTAGCACTGGGGAGGCTGAATCAGGAGGATCCCTGCGAGTTGGAGGCCAGCCTGTGCTACATGGTGATTTCGAGTCTAGCCTGAACTACACAGTGAGATCCTGTCTTAAACAAAAACAAAAACAGCTTGCAGCCGGGGCTGTTTGGAAATACCTGTCATGTTGGCACATGCCTATCCTCTCAGCACTTTGGGAGGCTGAGGCAGGAGTATTGCAGGCTCAAGCCCAGCCTAGACAGTTTAGTGACCCACTAAATAAATGGAGGGCCTTCTGGAGGAGTTTGTTTATTTTGAGACAGGGTCTCACTTTGTAGGTCAGGCTGGCTTGGCCTCCAGATCAAAGCAATCCTGCCTCAGCCTTTCAAGTCCTGGGATCATGGGTGTGCACCACTAGTCCTGGCTTCTCAGAGGAAGTGTGAAATTTGGGGAGGAGTAGCGTGTTTGGTGAGCAAGTGCCTGTTTAGCAGGGAGAAATGGTGAGTTCTCACCTGCTGCTTTCTTTCCCTCCAGGGCCGCAGTGACTGCGTGTAACTTTTGCTGGACCAGAAGCTGCTGCCGGGTAGGCGGGTGGCCACCATGTCTACCTTCCGCCAGGAGGACGTGGAGGACCACTATGAGATGGGAGAGGAGCTGGGCAGGTGAGCTTGGGGTTGTGAATAGCAGCTGTCCCTGTCCGTTTCCCTGGCAGGAATGAGTCAGGTTGTGTGCCGGAAAAACGAGTTTGGACTTTGGAGCCAGACAGACGTGGCCTTCATTTTCCTCCCTGTCCTCCGTGTTTGAGATGCAGAAAAATGGCGTTGTGTGCATATGTGTGGCTCGTGATGCAGAGCCTGGCCTCAAGTGGAGAGCAGTCAGTGCCAGCTGTGTGTTCTCAGAAGGTCTCTGTCCTCTTCAGTCCTCTTTTGTGGGAGCACTGGAGGCTCCTCAGCTCTTGCCTTTTGCCTGGGCCGGTTTTTTAATCACTACGGCAAAAAGTGTGGCTTCCCTCCCAGCCGCCAGGGCACGGCACGGCAGGGCAGGCGGGGCACTGACTTCCTGCCCAGGCCTTGAGGGTGCCCCCACCCCCACTCCCGGCCCCCGGACCGGCCAGGCCCCTCTCCGCCAGTCCTTTTTTTGTGGAGCTTCAAACCTTATTTGGTGAGCTGCTGCTGGGAGGCCTCCTGGAGCCACCGCCGCCCCATGATGTCACCCGAAGGGAATGTAAATAGCTGAGCCCAGGGTCAGGGCAGCCACCGCAGCAGAGTGTGGCTCAGTTCTCCTTTGGGATTCTGAGGTCCTTCCTTCAAGAATTTCCTCCTCTGGGTGCTGGGGAACGCAGCACCCGCCATCCCATGCTTTATTGTTTGAAATGTGTTAGGGACTCCAGTTTGGAATCGACTTCGCAGAAGTCAGTGAAATTTAACCCAAAATTTAACCCACCCTTTAGTGTTCATGGGAGATTGGCTTTAGGGCTCCTGAGGTTCCCAAAATCTTTGAATGCTTTAATCCTTTATATCAAATGATGTATTTAACTTGTATAATCTTCCCATATACTTTGTCATTTTTTAATATTATTATTATTATTATTGTTACTGTCATTGTTTTGGTGGTACTGGGGATGGAACCTAGAGTCTTGAACTGAGCTGCATCCCTGTTACTTTTTTTTGGTCTTTTTGAGACAGGGTCTCGCTATGCAGTTCAGGCTGGCCTTAAGCGCACTTTGTAGCCCAAGCTGGCCTTGAACTTGCAACGATCCTCCTGCCTCAGCCTCCTTAGTGTGGGGATTATAGGCATGCACCATCACACCTGGCTCTAGCCTGTTATATTTTTTGTTGTTGTTGTTGTTGTTGTTTTGGTACTGGGAATCAAACTCAGGACCTTGCGCTTGCCAGGCAGGCGCTTGTGCCGCTGAGCTATATCCCAGCTAGCCTGTTATATTTTTAAGATAGGATCTCACTAAGGTTTCCAGACTGGCCTCAAACTTGTAATTGTCCTGTCTCAGCCTCCCAAATAGCTGGGATTTCAGGCATGCATCACTGCACCCAGATGGTTTTAATGCTGATAACAGTTTAATTTGGGGGGCGGTGCTGGGGATGGAACCCAGATCTCATCCATGCTAAGTATTTGCTCTGCTACTGAGCCCCAGCTCCTACCTGGATGCTTTTGGGGATGTTTGGTGTGATTAATGCACACACCTGTTAGCTCTGCATTCTTAGCTTCAGCTATATGGATCCATCTCCTCAGGTGGGCACACCATGACCAAGGCCAAATCAATGAGTTCATATACTTTTCCTCCCCTGACAATTGCTTTTGTACTCTGCAAGCTCAGAATGTTTTGTTTCTTTTTTATTTTTTCCTTTTTGTGGGTGCCAGGGATGGAACCCAGGGCCTTGTGCATGCTAGACAAGTGCTCCAGCCTGAGCTGATTTGTGTATTTTTATTTTTAAAATTTTTTTAATTAATTAATTTATTTTTTGTCTTTTTGAGCCAGGGTCTCACTATGCAGTTCAGGCTGGCCTTGATGAGCTCACTTTGTAGCCCAGGCTGGTCTCGAACTCGGAATGATCTTCCTGCCTCAGCCTCCCAAGTGGTGGGATTATAGGAGTGTGCCACCATGCCTGGCAGTTTGCGTATTTTTAAATGGTTAGGGAAAAAAAATGGAAAAAGCAGTTCCATTTTTGTGACATGTTACATGGACAGGAAACTTCATTATGTGCAGTGGAAGTGAAAGATTAAGGGAGGGGAGGGCACAGCCCCCTCCTGTAGCTCCCTTGTCAGGCAATCACTTGTGTCACTGAGCTACATCCCTGGACCTGTAGCTCCCTTATGTATCCAGCTAATGAGCAGGCATTATGGAGAGCAACTGGGCCAAAAAGCTACAAACGCTCACAGGCTGGCCCTTTAAAGCACAAGTTCTCCAAGCTTGCAGTTTCTGTCGGCTCCCTTGCTCCCATGCTGTGCAGCCCCACTTCGGCCCCCTTAGCCTCCCCACTCTCCTTTGATGGCTGGCAGGGTTGGCCTTGCCTCATCTGCGTGGATCCAGGGTGGATCCTTCTGAGAGGCAGCTTGGAGTTCCTCTCCCCTTGCCTTGGGGCCGCCCTGCTCTGTTCAGTTACTGCACAAAACTGGACATGGCCCTGGGGCCACTGGGCCAGGCTGTCCTGAGCACTGCAGGCATTGAGCAGAGTCCCACCCATTCCATACCAGGCGCATCCCCAGGGTGACAGCTGCATGTGTCCCCAGACATGGTCCAGTGTTGGCAGTGGGGCAGGACTGTTTCTGGTTGGGAGGTTCTTTTTTTTTTTTGTCCTGGGAATTGAACTCAGAATCTTGTGCTGGCCAGGCAGGTGTTTATGCCACAGAGCTACATCCCTGGCCTGGGAGGGTTTTTTTTTTTTTTTTTT